TGCAAATTAAAAATGTCTTCTTTTTAATTTTTTCATAGTAAGAGTTTTTCCCTTGTAATTGTCTCAGAATATTCAAATTCTCAGTACATCAGTTTTCTCTATAAAATTAATTTTACACTTTTTCCCTCCTTTTTTTCTACAAAATATTTCTGACTTTTTGCTGTAACAGAATTGGTAGGGATAATTGCTTTTTACGATTTTAGACATTGCAGCTTGGAAAGTTTGGAAGGATTTGAAGGCAAGATTTATAGACACACAATTCTAGAAGATTCGAGAAATATGTGACAAAATGAAAAATGTGTCAACATGTAATGGTATCAACACATAATGGATGTATTTTACAGAAAGTTTGCGATGAATTTCTGACTTTTTGTAGAATGTCTGGAAGAATAATGAAAACATAATATTTGAATGTTTTACTTCTGATACTAGAACTTTTTTCTTAACATGTTTATCTTCCCTTTATTTTCTCTACTTTTCACTAGACACAAGCATGAGAAATATAAAAAATACTTCTAATCTTATCACATGGCCAGGCATTATAGAAAGGAATTTTTTTATTAATAAAGAAATTGAAAACTTACAATTTAAAAGATTCATCTAATATGTCTTAGTGCATTATACACAGAGCTGGCACTTGGCATTTTCCCACCTGATGCAATCTTTGTGGATCCTAAATTCTGCTTCCAGTGCCTGCTCTAAATTTTAAAAGTTTTGCCATTTCTAGATTTTGTTGTTCGGTGTGTCACTAAATTTTAAAAATTCTGCCACACCAGCTCTGTAAGCAACCTTTACCATATATATTTCATATTTCTTCTGAATGTTCATATTACTAAAGAAATAAAATTAGCCACTTTTTCTATACATTCTAAATGCATTTAGTGTTTTTTAGGATAACAGAAATCCTTAATTAAATCCAAAACCTCTAAAATGGAAAGGAAATGTGTTGAAGAAAGAAACTGAATACATAAAGAAAATTATTCTTCAAAGATATGTGCAGTTGCTATTATGTTAATTACCCAATCATTTATGATTTCAGCCTTTACTATAATTTCCCATTTCTGCTTCTTCATATGATAGAGTTACTGAGCCAGATTAAATTTAAATTAAATTGTATAATTTTTGAGTCCACATTTTTAGTTTGAATTTGACTGTTCTTGTTTAATTACATCACCGTGAGCTGTAATTGATTTTGTTAGCATCAGAACATACTTTTATAAAAGTTCTTTTTAAAAAGGAGGCTTATTTAAATCTTTGTCTGATATTGTAGTTACATTCAGCCGTAGCGATAATTTGCTTCACGTCTGTCGGGGGTTTTGGACTATTTAACTTTTACCAGATCAAATAAACCCTCATAGGTATATTGTGGAGAAATTGACAAATTAGGAGATAAAGCACACAGAAACTAGTGAGAACATTTGTTTGCATATTGAGACAAATTTCTAATTGTTAGAAAACATGCTTAAAGAGAAGGAAATCGATTATAAACTAGCCAGAATGTTTAAAAGGGCTGCAAATTAAAATGACAGATAAATATTTTGTTGAGTGTTGTTACAAAACATAAATGTTTTGTAGCTTTTAATGTGTCCTTATATCGTTTAAGAATCAATGTCATAAATTGCATGTATTTTAAACTGTGAAGTTTTTATTAGATTTTGATTTTAATAGGGCTTTTTTTTAACAAATATTGTTAAAAAATAAAATTTAATATGGCCATGTAAATCCATAATGTCTAAGATTATATAATTACCTAATTTAATTATTTATAACTAACTGCTTACCCTTAAAAATTATCCCTACATATATTAATGTGAGTTATTGCCCTTCATCAATACTCACTATGGTCACAAGATAAAACACAAAAATGTAGAAATTCAAATAAAACTTATTCTTTGCATCTAGTGAGACTTGACACAAAACAACTTATCACCTCTGGTGCTTTAATGGCTTATTGGATATTAACTGAGTTACAACTCCTGGAACTCTACACTACTGAACACTAACTGCATCAAACAGAGCCTAACTTTCAACACTTGCCAACCGTGTCTACATCAGGCCTCTCAGGCAGTGGCGTAAATTAAGGGTATGCAAGGAATGCAGTCGCATAGTAGCCCGAAGGCTTAGGGGACCCATGAATGTCCTACTGAACTATATTTACATATTTAAACTTAAAACACGTATAAAAATCATGTATTCGAGTAGTTTAGGGTACCGAAAAATGTTCTTAAAAGAAAGGGGGGAAACTTTACCACATATTTTCTACAAAACTTGCATGTTCAAATAGTTTTCTTTATGAAATTTATGATAACTATGTTTTATATTTAACAAATGTATCATTTGCATTATAAAAGTTCTTATTTATGACTTGTAAATTATTGCATAAGTCATGTTCGTAAGCTCAGTTGATCACAGAGCGCTATATATTAGTGTTATTTCTTTTTTGGTTTCAAATTAAAATGAGGGATAAATATTTTGTTGAGTGTTGTTACAAAACATAAATGTTTGCCAGCTTTTGATGTGTAATTATCCTAATATCGTTTAAGAATCAATGTCACAAATTACATGTATTTTAAACTTTGAAATTTTATTAGATTTTGAATTTAATAGGGATTTTTGATAAATATTGTTAAAAAATAAAATTTAATAGTGGCCATTTAAATCCATAATAACTAAGGTTATCTAACTACTTAATTTATTTATTTATAACTAATTGCTTTCCCTTAAAAATTATCTCTACATACTAAAGCGAGTTATTGCCTTTCATTAATACTCACTGTGGTCACAACACAAGATAAAACACAAAAATGTAAAAATTCAAGTAAAACTTATTCTTTGCACCTAGCGAGACTTCAAATAATATAAAACAACTTATCACTTCTGGTGCTTTAATGGCTTATTGCAACTTTAAAGTATATTAACTGAGTTACAACCCCTGGAACTCTACACAAAGCTACAACACTAACTGCATCAAACAGAGCCTGACTAACTTTCAGCACTTGCCAACCATGCCTACATCAGGCCTTTCGGCTTTGTTCTAATTAGCAGGTCTGTCTCTAGACAAGCAGCAGCAGGACAACATTCAGTCTTTTGTTATGAATAATGCTGATTATGATCTTACTTTTCATTTTAACCTATGCCGTTTGACATAAAATCTACCTGCTATTTACTAAACCTCTGTCTAGACTGCCAATTATGTGACAAAATGAGACATTAAAAAAAAAAACATAAAGCTAACTGTTAGTAAAACGTAAATATCACTTATCTTCTTTCAAATATGTCCAACTATTATAAGTGTAAAATATTTAATGCTACATGATAAATTGCATAAAGTTAATTTTATTCTCAAACTTATTAATAATTATGTTAGTTAATTCATGTTTAGTAATAATGCATACTACTTAGGGATCTATTTTATTTTTAGGATGGTATTAGAAAAGTGAAATTCAGGCATAGATAATATTTTTAATTGAATTTATTCAGTTCCTATTCGTTCATAGGTCCTTAATTTTTTTCATTAATGGTCCTTAAAAGTACTTAATTTCCGTGTGCAGAAATTGTGTACGAACCCTGAAAAGAGAGAGATTAATAAATACATACCAAACTCAATTAACATTTAGTACCTAAAATTTTGAGAGCTTATTTTTCAAAACTACTTGTGCGATTTTTACAAACCTTGGTAGTTTGGCGTAATTTGAGTCCTAGAATGGAAATATGGAAAAGAATTGGTGTTATTTCGGAAAAAGTCCGATTTTGTGTCAAAATACCTATATTAAAACAATGCTATATATAAATGCATACTTATATTAGACAATGCTATTGTATAAATACGGTCACGGTTTCGAGACATGAAAATCGAAACTTCTTTTTTTTTTTTCGCAGTGTACATATAGTCACTCATTCCCATAGTAGTTTAAAAAAATAAGGGGATCACAAAGTAGAGACAAATTTAATAAAGGGTTTTGCATGAGCTCTTTGAAGCTCACGACTCAGTCTCATTACTACTATTGCACCCCAGCATAGTGTGGAAATTTGGGAAGCATTGGAATTACCTTCTAAGACCCTGTTTAAAGGCTGTGTAGACAACTGATGTGCAAATTCTACATTTATTTAGTTCCATAAAAATGGTACAAATGCTTATGACACCATAAGAAAAGAGAAGAAAAAAGGAATGCCAAGAGAGAGGGAGAGCGAAGTGCTCTTTCATCCTCCATGAACATGTTAGCTATAAAATGGCAAAAGATATTTCCATGATTTCAGTGATGTGCAGAGTCAAGTTTGTAGATGTTCCAGAACGCAAAAAGGAGCAAAAAATTGTGCAAGACCCAGCTTGGGTTTATGACTCTAATAAATGTCAGTTGACAAGACTGCTATGATAATCAGCGCAAAGTAACAAAAAAACGTAAAATATTTCATCCATGTAATTGGTATGTGCTTATGGAGTGCATCTTGTTTATATAAACTGAAGATAGTTAAGAACTATTGCAACAGAACAATTCCAGCTGAAATTACTAGATCAGATGTTAAGCAAATGTTAAAAATAACTGCAGCCCATTATTATGTTCCACCCATCAATAACTGTTCGACAATGAAAGCATTTCCTTCTGTTTTATTAAGCCATAGAAAAAAAATTATGAAGGTGGGTGTGTTGTCTCTAGATAGAATGATGAGAGATAAAAATTATGTTATCAGTGTGGTGTCGGTTATCTATGAAAATGTTATGTTATCAATGTGGTGACTTTGGTGTTGGTTTTTTTAAAATGCATTATAATAAATCACATTATTAAATTGCTTTATTTTATTCTTCCAAGAATTCTTGATGTTAATTATATAATATAGTGTATTGTGTTTTAATTGAAATAATTATTGTGTTTATAGAAATTAGTGTTACCTTTTTTTAAAAAAGAAAATTGCCTTGTTTTAAGCAATTTTAGTTGTAAAGAAAATTAGATTTAGACTGTATTTTCTTGCATTTATTTCAGAGTCATATATTTTTTCCCTAGATTTGTAAATATCTTGGTGGAGTGAGATTTACTAGCTGTAAAAGTGCAAAGGACAGGACATCTATGTCTGTAACTCTTGAACAAGCTATGGTTCTTTTGAAAGATTTTAACTTGGATGACAAGGAATTGAGCCGTGTATTAGAATGTATGAGAAGGTAGAATATAGTTTAATACACATAATTTCTGAAATTTTGCAGTATAAACTACCCGATAGCATTTTACATGAGCTATAAGACATCTTCAAAAGCATTTTACATAAGTAACATCTCCCAAATAATTCTTTTTCTTATAGACTTTTCTTTTTTAAATTTACTTGTATGTAATGCAAAACTTTTTTTTTTTTTTTTTTTTACAACAGTGAAGGAACACGTCGTGAAAACACTATGAAGAATACAGGCATACGAAAATATGCTTTCACAAGTTTGCAACTTATGACGCTTCCCAAGCTTTATCGTCCACCCCCAGGAACATATGGGAATGTTCAATCTTGATGAAATGTTTTATTATGATTTTTTTAATTTTACTTAAAGTGTATAAAAATTGAATATATGAAAATGTTTTAGTTTTAATGTATATTTTACCTGAATTTTCTTGTACAAAATTCATTTGTGTTTTATAAAATTCTGTAAAGTGTAATGAAACTTATATTTCATGGAATTACAATACAACTGAACAAATATATGCTAACAATAAATATATGCATTTTTAAAAAAAAATATTGGTGTGATTTGGTGCGTCCGTGTCGAGAATAAATGGTCAGTCGAGCTGAGGATACGTCGGGATTGGAGCAGATGTTAAATCTTACTTCAGGTTCTTAAATGCATCCTCACATTCTTTTGTCCGCAAGAACTTTTGCTTGTTCTCTGTCAGCTTGTGAATGGTCTTGCGATGGAAGAAAAGTCCTTCACGAATCTCCTGTAGTAGGTGCAAAGCCCTAGGAAGCTTCTCAACTGATGGACATTTTCGGGACGTTTCCATTCTTTAACGGCTGACACCTTTTCAGGATCTGTGGACACACCTTCAGCAGAAATGACATGTCCTAGGTAAGTCAATTCCTGTCTGAATAATTTGCATTTAGCGGAACTCAACTTTAGATTGGCTTTTTTTAGTTTCTGAAGTACCTTTCTCAGATTTTCTAGATGTTCTTCAAAACTCTTTCCGACGATGATGATGTCATTCAAGTGTATCGGACAAGCTTCATAGGAAAGACCTTTCAAAACAGTCTCCATGAGGCGTTCGAATGTTGTCGGCCCATTACGCAGTCCAAATAACATCACCTTAAACTGCAAAATTCCATGTCCCGTAATAAATGCTGTCTTTTCTCGGTCATCAGGATGTATCTCTGCTTGCCAATATCCACTCTTTAGTTCAAGCGTTGAAAACCATTTGCTTCCTGAAAGAGTGTCCAAAATGTCGTCAATTCTAGGAAGAGGATATGGATATGGAGAAATGTGGTGGACACCCCATTGTGGACACCCCATTGCATTGACAATGTGGGTATTGTCCAGCCACACTAGATATCCAGATAAATTACACCCCACAGGACTTACAGGGGATCCTGTCAGGCGTTGCTTGCAATGCTTTGTATTTTACCATACCGCGGGCAGTGCCTGTCTTTTTTGGTAACTTCGTTCAACCGGTGAAAGTGAAGGCAACCGGCGAAAGTGAAGAACGAACCGGCGAAAGTGAAGAACGAACCGGCGAAAGTGAAGAACGAACTTCTAACTTAAACTTGAAAATCGAAGACCTAATCTATGAAAGTACAATGTTCGAAACGGAAATTTAAAGTTCACTCGAGTATAATGAATCTATAAGTAATACTAAATTCAAATTCAAAATAAAATTAAAAGGGTATGAAACTGGACATTTTAAATCTTCTCAAAATGTTAACTTTTCTAATTCGAATATTTATAACACATCATCTTCTATCAATTTGCCTAAATTACGCATTCTCACTCTAACTGGCGATTCTAGTTTATTTCAAAATTTTTTTATTGGTTTCTCGAGTGCAATTGACTCTAACGAGTCATTAAATAATGTTGACAAGTTCATATATCTAAAACCTTTTCTTTTGGGTGACGCTTACAAAACTGTTTTGGGATTCGTACTTAAGGAAGAAAATTATATTCCTGTTTGAATTTGTAAAAGGAGCGATCCGGTAAACAAGAACACCTGATTATGTATGAAGATTTCATGAATAAACTATTACAAATTGAACCAGTTAAGTTTTCATCAAATCTCTTCGCACTTAGAAAATTGTATGAAGAAAGTGAAATTAGTGTAAGAAATTTAAATTATATGGGAGTTATTTGCGAATACAATTTTATTAAAGCAATTACTTCAGGATTTAGTAATAGAATTTCATCGCAAGAAATATCCTAAAAATTCTATTTATATAAATCAGCTGATGAATTTTATCACACTTGAAACTGAATGTAGGCAAACTGCAAGAACTGTTTCTGAGCTTTCTTTAAAGACACGGGAACCTTCAAAAGGAAAGGATCACTCTCAGCCTCAAGCTAGATTTAAAATCAATATTCCAACGTCTGCTGCATTAAATGCGGTAGTGGAGAATACGTGCAACTTTTGTAATTCTAATTCTCATTCCGGATTAAAATGTAAAACATTCATCAATGAACAAAAGCGATGCAAACTAAAAAAAGAGGGATGTTGCTATAGAATTTTTGGTTAATAAACATTTAATTTCGCAGCGTAAAGTAAGAATAGAACCTTGTGAAATTTGTCAGCGTTTACAGCATAATTCATTATTCTGCTCCACAACAAGGAGCAAAAATGCATCGGAAATTAAGCCGTCAGAAAACGGCGAATTCATTCAAAGTTCTGATAAACAAGCTGTAATGTCTTCTATATTTAAATCACAAAACTGTATACAAAATTACACTGCTTTACATCAGACTGCTTGCGCACAAGTGGAAAATTATTCTGAAAGGTTAAGTGCATTGATGCTATTTGATTCGGGCTCGCAGAAATCATTTATTAGAAAAGAGTAAAAGCAAAACGAAGGTACAGCCCTTAAAGAAAGAAAGGCTTTTAGTCTTAACATTCGCGAAAAGTAACCCTTATGAGAAAGATTTTGAAGTCGTTAATTTCACTCTTAGAAGCAAATGTCCACCTTATTCTAGCATAAATATTCAAACTATAGTAACTGATGAAATCAGCAGGGTTCATACATATTCTAATATCAAACCTGACTTATTAAAAGATTTAATTCCAAACGTCTATGAAATTTCTGAATCATTATGAAATAACCGATCCGTCCAGGTAATGGTAGGTGCCGATTTTATGTATTCGACGCTAATCGGGGAAGTTAAAAAAATAAATAAAAACTTATATATTCAACAGACACTATTCGGTGATACAATCACGGGGTAGATTACGGAAAATCGTCTGTATGCTTCTACTTCTTGTTTGAAGATTGCATGTACTTCGGTAGAAAATGATTTGAAATGTTTATGAACTTCTGAATCATATTTACTTGAGCGTGAAAAGCAGAAAAATCTCGGGTAATATTACAGAATTCGAAACGCAGTTACGGTTTATAACTGGACGGTATGAGTCACCACTTTTATGGAAGTCTGAGACTTTACGAGAAAATTTGTCTAGTAATTTAGAAATGGCGACAAAAAGATTTGTTATATTAGAAAAGCAGTTTAAGGGTGATGAATTATTATTTGAGAGATATAATGGAGTTATGAAGGAACAATTAAGTGAAGTGATTACTGAAATATGCAACAATAGTTGTTTCGTTGGATATGTAATGCCTCATAGCGAAGTTATCAGGGAAGATTCTCTTAGTGCTAAAACTAGGGTAGTTTCTGATGCCAGTAGTAAACAAGGAAGTTGTAATAGTCTTAATGAATATCTTCTTCCTGGAGAGAATTCAAGTGTTAATCTTGTAGATATTATTTTGAAATTTACAGAACACAAAATTGGATTGTGTGGAGATATTGCACGGACTCTTCAAATTCAAGTCACTAGAGATGATAGAAATTATTTATGTTTTGTATATTATGAGAATTGCAACAAAACCCAGGCCACAACCACAGTTTTAATAGAGCCTCACTTGTTCTCTTTACATTTTGGTTGCAACAGTTAAAAATCATGTTAATGTTTAAAAGAACCGACACCCTCTCGCATATGAAATGTTGAATAGTTCTATTTATGTGGATGATATTTTTTAAGGATGTTCCACTGTTCAAGATGCTTATGAGATATCTTCTGACTCTGTTTTGATTTTGAAGGACGCTAAGATGAATAAGAGAAAATTTGACACTAATTTTAATGACCTGAAAGATTTATGGAAGAATTCAGTCATTAATTGTCATTAATTATAATTCAGTCATAAGTCATTAATTGAAACAAATGAAAATTCTGATTCATATTGATATTTAAAAGTATTAGGACCCAGTTGGAAAAATATTGAAGACACATTAAGTCTAGACCTTAAAGTTATTCACGTTGGATGTTAATGAATGTACTCAACGAAACGTACTGCACACAGCCGCAAAAATCTCTGATCCATCTGGACTTATATCTCCGTTTCTAGTTCGAGTGAAGTGTTTTTTATAAGAGTCGGGGCAGTTAGGTGTAGGATGGGATGAGAAGTTTTCCGGAGAAATTAAAGAAAAATGGCAAGCACTGTGTAATGAAATTAAAGAACATCAAAAACGGAAGATTCCTCGGCGTTATTTTTCTGACACAAATTTGAAAAGATGAGAAGATTTATAGCTTCATATATTCTCTGAGGCTTCATTAAAATATTTTGGAGCGATGGCATACTTTAGATATATGGCAGTTCTAAAACTACTTCATAATTTCCAAATCACGAGTTGCGCCAATTAAAAAGGTGACATTGTCCCGAGAAAAATTATTGGGTGCAGTAACTGCTGCAAGATTAGCTAAATCTTGTAAAGACCTTTTTAAAAAATCAAGAAAAGATTATTCTGTGTAAGTGATTAAACAATTCTGCTACATTGGATAAAAGGCATGACATCTGAGAGTAAGCAATTTGTTTTAAATAGAGTATTAGACATTCAAGAAACTACAGATCCCAGTGCATGGAGACATTGTATAGGTAAAGATAATCCTGTGGACTTGTTAAGAAAAGGAATTAACTAGTAAAAATTTGCTAACTTAAAAAGGGATGGTGGCATGATCCAATATGGTTATTGTATCCGGAGAATACTTGGCCCCAGCCGAAGAGATTTGAAATGACTCAATAGACCAGGAGATTGAAGCTGAATATGAAGCTCATGCTATAATTAGCTCTTACCAAACAGATAATTGATATTAATAGGTTTAGTTGCTTACGAAAAATACTGAAGGTGACTTCTTGGGTATTACGATTTGTTGATGCTCTTAGGAGGAAAAATAATATAATGGGTCCTTTTTCTACTGAAGAATATAATCGTGCTGAACAGTTTTGGGTAAAAGCTGTTCAAAGGGACATTTTCTCTGAGGAAATTAATTGTTTGAAGAATGGCAAGCGTTTACCAAAAGACTCCAAGTTGTTATGCTTAAACCCATTTTTAGATTATGAAGATGTATTGCGAGTGGCAAGAAGGCTTGAGAAAACTCCTTTATATACGAATGAAAAACACCCTATTATACTACCGTCAAATTCGAAACTCACTAAATTACTGATTTGGGAACCCCATGATAAAGTATTTCATTTCGGCGTATCTTACACGCTGGTTTATGTGAGAGAAAAGTACTGGATATTAAAGGCCAGACAATTTATCCCACGTAGTGGGGAGGTTTTTTATGAACGTATGATGTGTTCCGTGAAAGTCGGTCTGCGGAAGACTCTTGGAAAGTCTTCTCTGACCACTGAGCAGTTGCAAATTGTTCTTATCGAAATTGAAGGGAGGATTTTAACTCTCGGACAATTTTCTATGTTGAAAGTGACTTAGATGAACCACATGCCTTATCTCCAGTGCATTTTCTTTTAAGCCTTGTTGCCATCTGTGAGACTTTACCTTGATTCAAATTTTACTTCCTGGAAGTCTTTGATAAATGCCTATAATTATCGCTAAAAATTAATGAATTCCTTTTGGTCGAGGTGGAAAAAAGAGTACATGTTGAATTTAAGATCTGACTAATCGAGATTGTTTAAGAATAATATTCCCGAATTTAAAGTTAATCATATTGCTATAGTTAAGGAGGATCATTTACCCCGAAAATTTTGGAGATTGGGGAGAATCCTTGAGTTGTTTCCTGGAAGAGATAATAAGGTGAGGACTTGCATGGTAAAAATCGAGTCATCGGATATTAGACGTCCTGTACAACTTCAGTACAGTTTAGAACTTCATAACTAAAGTTTTACCTTCAGTGCTAATTTACAAAACTGCATTGTGAGTATATTTTTTTATAGTTGTTCATTATCTTTTGAATTATTCTGTTAAAAATTTGTAATTCTGTAGCTTCTATGCACGAATTTCATAATTTAAAGTGTGTTTAAGTTCATAGAGTCATGGTATGCTCTTAGGCAGGGCTCCGCAACTGGTGTGCCATGAATAGGATATAGGTGTGCCGCAATCAAATACATGTATTTGACATTTTGCAATTTTTATCGTGTATTTAATACACAATGACAATTTTTTTCCTTAATAATGTCTATTTTAAATGTTTTTATATATTTCACTGTTGTGTGGTTGTGTGCGTGATTGTAAGTGTGTCAGCATTTGAATTTTTTCGGCACTTCCTTTATAACTCGGAACTCTTTGGTGTGCCACGAAATTCCAGAAAGATTTTTTGTGCGTCGCAGATGAGAAAAGGTTGCGGAGCACTGCTCTTAGGGACCATTGAACAACCTCCTAAAAAATGTGATTTTTTTTTAAAATTTAGATAATATTATAGGCTTGATATTCCATTTAAATTCGCAGTTATTTATAGATGATATATATTTTTTTTTTCTTTCGTCTGGAACTCAAGCGTTTTGTAGTATGAATATATACTGCTTATATAGAAGTTTGATGAATCCCTTGTGGTTCGTGTGCGAGACAAGTTGTTGAAAATAAAATGATAATGCGATCGTGCGTTTGCAATCGTCTGATATCTTTTTACCGGCAGCCCTTGCGATAAATATTATGTTAAACATTTAAAATTCTGAATGTAACGTATATATGTTCTGCTTACTAGGTTTAGTTTATTCTTTTCCTCGGTTAATTATACTTGGCTTATAATTCAGTCTAATACGTTTATGAATGAGATGTGTTATGAATTAAAATTAGAAAAACTTGAACAGCATGGTCTTCATGCTAGAATCTCGTTTGTTTCTTTAGTGTAATATATGTTATTTTTTCAATGATGGATTGTAGCCATTAGATATCAATAAGTATTTGAACATTTGGTGGCTATACCTAGACTAAATAATCAGTTGCACAATAAGGCAAAAGTTCTGAAGCAGAGAGGTGATATTTCCTAGAGTATTTATATCAGAATATATTAAGATGGACGCTTATCCCAATCTAAATATTGTTTTAATAATCCTAATTAATGATATGAACAAACCATTCACAAAAATCTCATTAAGTGTTATCATACATTTACATACACAATAATAATAAAACCAGAATTTTCTTTTCTTTTTTCGAGAAAACGCACCATCTCATGCACACAGTTCACAAGCAGAAATCCAATTTTAGATTACAAGCCTGAGCCAAAGACCTTTTAAGGAGAAAACTTCTTTTACTGCTACTTCTTTATGAAGCATGGCCTCCATGCGGTTTCTTCCGTTTCAATGCACGCGCAATGCTAATTACATTATCTAAATACGAGGAAGCATTCCCTTCACTCCAGAGGGGACGTCAATTCCGTAACAATTACTGTTCCTTAATTAAATCGTGACAGGGTTACTTCTGAGTACATTTGGTGATGAGGTTGCCCAAGATGCGATACCTCCAAAGATGTTCATTACAACAAATCAGATAAGCTTAAAGATCGGTGTTTCACTGTATCATCTTCTCCAGCATAATACTCCTATCCCTTTTGTAGTTTTTGCATTTGCTCGGTGCTGTCAATTACATGACGCTTATCACAATAGAGAAGACTTCCAATCTTCTCTTTGGACGTCCTTTGCCTCAGTACTCAGTTGAATCTTGCCCCTTGTGTGTTCATAAACGAATAGCGTAGAAAGTCATATACTGCCATGCTTGAGCAGCAGTCCTAATAAATCCCCGACAGTTCTTTCCATACAGCTGTCACATTCATTGATGTCATTTGTTTCTGCAGCTCCGGAATATTTTCAGTTGCAAATTTTATGTTGAATTTTTCCAAAAGCTGGACTAATAAAGTGGATTATCATTCGTAGTACCTTGTATTATTTGTTCAAAAGTTTATTTTAGAAAAACAGCGTTAAAATGTGCAAAGATGCCAAGATCCATAGATTGCAATATCGTTGTCATGTTAGGAAGCCAAAATACAATTTTAACATATTACTCAAGTTACTTACGCAAGAATATGACCAAGGGAGTTATCCAAAAGAAATAAAGCTTTTAAACTCTAATTATTTTGTTCACAGTCTCTTTATATTGAGACTCTGGGATAGGTGATACCCCAGTTACATCAATCAGCGACTTCGATCTTCACGGAATTTTACCCGAGTGTCAGAGGACTACCAGCGTTTGCCGACTGTACTTTCTAGGGATCTAGGATCTTGAGTGAGGTTTATAAGCACTGATTTTGGTTTAAAATCGTCTCAGGCATTTCCTTCAATTAAAATTGAAGTTCGAACTTCTGGTGCTTTATAATCAGGAGCGGTTTTTCTTTTTTTGCAAGAAATGTTCCCAAACTAAAGTAAAGTTTGCTTACCAAAACAAAGCAGTTTCGTCAACACTGAACATCTGTCTCTCATCATAAGTTTCCTCTTCTACTCGTATAATTATTATTAATTTTTATAACCTTGTTTGCATTTTTTGCAGCTTCTTGATCAGCACTTATAGATTTATTTTGGATTTTCGCATTGTGTATCTTAAAGCTGTTCAAATACCCAGAGCTACCTGGAAAATACTTTTCGTTCATCGCTTCATAGGTTTCTTTCAAACAGAAGAAAGGGCTTAAAATTTTTCTTTTTATTGTAGAAATAATAATCGGTAT